TTCACGATGAGCACCAAAAGCACGGATCCACGATCATGCACCAAGTTCACGTACAGCGCCAAAAGCACGGATCCACGATCATGCACCAAGTTCACAATGAGCACCAAAAGCACGGATCCAGGATCATGCACCAAGTTCACGATGAGCACGAAAAGCACGGATCCACGATCATGCCCCAAGTTCACGTAGAGCACCAAAAGCGCGGATCATGCACGTAGAGCACATGCGCACGTAGCACCGACCATCGAGCACATAGAGCACCGACCACTGAGCACGCACGTAGAGCACACCCGCACCGACTCAGAGCACTTGCGCACCGACCACCGAGCACGCACGTAGCACCGACCACCGAGCACGTAGAGCACCGACCACTGAGCACGCACGTAGAGCACACCCACACCGACTCAGAGCACTCGCGCACCGACTACCGAGCACGCACGTAGAGCACACGCGCACCGACGCAGAGCACGCACACGCGCACCGACCATGGAGCACGCACTGGCTATTCAGCGCTTCCGGTACCAACTGGTGGGCGGGCGATTGGAGGGGTGGGCTGCGAATAGAAAAACGGGCAGGCAGTGAATACAAAAACGGGCGGGCCGCGAATAGAAAAACGGGCAGATGGGCGGGCGATTGGAGGGGTGGGCCGCTTCAGGGGTGGACCGCGGAGAAAAAAAACGGGTGGGCCTGCAGTTCGGCGCTTCCGGTAGCAGCCGGCAGAACCCGATATCGCACGGCCCGAATCGGAGGCCGGTAACGCGCCGCGGACGGCCCAGATCGCAGGCCGATCAGAAAACTTTCTTATCGGCCTGCGATCTGGGCCGTCCGCGGCGCGTTACCGGCCTGCGATTCAGGCCGTGAGATATGACATTTAGCAGTTCTTATAGTAGGTGTAGATATGGTGAACAACCCCAATGCTGTCAGTCTTCAGTGCTCACGCTGGCAATATCTGTCAGAAACTGAAAACTCCGAAAGTTGAAAACACAATCTACTACATGTCTTCTTTCTCTAATATTTGGCATCGAGTATTGCAAACTTTATAAACATGCACTAATGTTACAGACAGCTTGCATTTGAGGATGAGTAATACAACAATCCATATTCGCCGATTTCTACAACTATATTAATAATTTAATATTCAACGTTCAAGTCTTCTAAGTTCCTGCCTGTTTCCGGATGGTTCTTTCCCACAATTCCTGACAAGAAAGGGAAAAAAATAGCCAAAACATTCACAACAAAAAAAAAGGAGAAAATTTACAAGCTCTCTTTTTCAGAAGTTGTTTTTGTTCCAGAAGTAGCCAAAACATTGACAAAAACCACACAAAAAAAGAAAAAGTTTAGAAAATCTCTTTTTCAGAAGTTGTTTTTGACACTTTTGTCCTCTGAATTTTTAAATAGTCGTAGTAGTTGCTCATGAGTTTTCTGATTTCTTGAAATTCTCACAATTTGCACATTCGCACAATTTGTCAACAAAAGAAACAATAAAAAGTCTTTTAGTTTAACATTTGCCATTCGCACAATTTGTCAAATTTTTTTTTTTCGACTTCTATCGTCATATTGCTTTTCCACGGACAAGGCGCTACCACGAAGCAACTTTCTTCATTCCAGTCGGAATACATACATTGGCGATCAGCACGCTGATGGTTAGCAACTCCACGGCAAAGACTAAGCGGTGTGGTGATCGTAAAGAGTGAAAGCTCTTTGAAGTTCACATACGACAGAAACCAGCAACCGGCAAACACTATGGAAGACTTCATCTTATCCCCGGAGTCATAGATCCCTTTGGTGATAATTTTTATGTGATTATCCAGATTGCAATCAGACTCGCTCTCATTCGCGCTTCTCATGCATGCAAACCGGTGTGCAGCAAACTGGCGACAAGCGCCCACTCAAAACTCGGAGATATGGCAACCAAAACGCAGCTCAGATACAAGTTCACTTCAGATGGCTATGGCGACACACCACCCACACAACTCTCTGTTCGCACACACAGGATCACCCTGGATATCCCGAACACGATACTCTGTACACACACACACACACACACACACGCTGAACTCTATCTACAGCTATGGCGGCTATGGCCGTTGCTACCCTATCGCTATGGCTACGCTCTTTCTCTCTCGCCCACTTCGTCTTCGGGCTCACTGCAGACCACCTAGCACAAGTCGCTGTGGCAGCGCTTCCGCATGGCTCACGCAGGAATGAATGAATGACTGGGCGCTGCCTCTTGATTTATACTTCTGCAGCTCGTTGGTCTGGCCCTTTCCCATGCCCGTAGTGCACACAGTCCCATGTGGTACTTGCTTGACTGGACTAGGACTGACTGGGACTGGGACTGCTGACTCAGCATGGGTAGACTCCACCACTTGCCCACTTGCCTCAGCCTAAACATGGGCAACTTCGAAAGGCCACTACTCGGACCTTCCGGAAGGCTGTAGACTTGGCCTTTCGATACTGTAGCAGCTACGACCTTGACCTGTCTGGACTTTAGCAGCTACGACCTTGACCTTTCGGGAAGGCTACAGCCACGACTTCTAGACCTGACTAAGACTCCTACTCGACAGGTCTACAGATCGAACCTCTGCTACCTATGGACCCTAAGACAGTCTACCAACTGTTACAAATACACAGGTCACGGTTCAACTCTAGGGGTCGACACAGATACTGTACACAGGTAAGGTGGGGACTAGGGATCGAGCCCTGGGATCGCCTACTGCACCACACGTGTGCTTCACGTGCACACCTGTGTGCTTTCAGAAGAATGAACGTCTTACAGAAGGAGACTGTGGAATCAGTAGACACTGAGAAAGCTGGAGCAAGGTGTCCAGAAAGGCTGCAACCGACATGCAGGTTATCTGAAGAAGAAGGCAAAGTTGGAAAAAAAACACGTTGACTCAGAAGTAAGGGCAACAAATTGAGGTACAAAGACCAGGGAAGAGGCCTTGATATGGGTTTCCCGCCTGTTTACCATTGTTTGTTTGGAGTCTAGAGGAATGAACAAGCCCTCCCGTGGAATAGGAACCAGAGTCCAGACTGATGATCCCAGAGCAGATAGGGGCCATAGCGACCGCACTCTTTTTGAAATTTTCTCCATCTTTTTTGAAAATCTTGAGAAAAAAGAAGGGGGAAAAGGAAAGGCGGAAAAGAGGGGAGGGGGAGGAAGGGGGGGGCATTATGTGATAAGGCAGGGGTGGGGGTTCGAAGAAGCCATACTTGTGAACAAGCCCTCCCATGGGAGAGGAACCAGACTCCAGACTGATGATCCCAGAGCAGACAGGGGCCATAGCGGCAGAGCTCTTTTTGAATTGTTCTACATCTTTTTTGAAAATCTTGAGAAAAAAGAAGGGGGAAAAGAAAGAGGGGAAAAGAAAGGGGGGAAAAGAGGGGGGCGAGGCAGAGGGGGGGGGGGTTGAAGAAGCCATACTTGTGAGGGTATTCCTGTACCAACTTGTGGGCTCGGAGGAACAGCTCATTCTTTCGCCGAAGCTCCAAAGCGGCAGCTAAGTGCACTGGCATACATTGTATATGATAGGGGTCTCTCTCAAGCAGCCTGTAACCTCAAACATGCAAAAAAATTGCAATGAATGCCTTCATTCCATCGGCAGCAAGACCAATGCCTTGAGCACTTTTTCTTTTTCTTTCTGTTGTTGTTGTTCAAATGGAGGTGGGCCCATAAGGAAAGAAAAAGGCTTTAAAAGTTGCTAAAGACAAAGGAACGAAGGGACATATTTCAAAATACCAGCTCCACCATCCTATTTCTGATAGAATCAACACTGCAAGTAGATGATTGAAGATCCAGGTAACCCTATTTCTGATAGAATCAACACTTCCTATTTCTGATAGAACCGACACCTCTGTGAGACTTCTCCCATGGAACTCCACAACTTCCTCCGATTTTTTATTAATGCTGAAGAAATCAGAAACACATACATCTCACTTTGCAATGATACTGAAAATGTAAGAAACAGAAGCACCTGGTCATGTTCAGCTCATTTGCTGTTAAAAGAAGGCCACAACAGCAGACGGAGTACACAGCTCCCGCAATGGAGAAAGTCGAGCGCAACCAGCCGACCAAGGGAGAGGCAGAATAATCCGATATTTTGGAACGGAAAGCATTCAAACGGAAACTGTCACTGGCAGTCTCATCAGATGCACAGCCTGAAAAGTGACGCCTCAGGACAAGAATAGGCTTTCTAGCAGTGCTGGGACCCGGGCAGCCCGGCTCTTTTTTGACCAACCTGGTTTTCCCGGGTGAGTCCTCCCCTGCCGTGCTGGCCCCAGGCGTGCCCAGCCTGGCGACTTCCCATCATAGCTTTCTAGTCCCAACACATAACCCTCCATCTCATTGATTACCTCCTTCATGGCAGCTGCTGACGACGCTTTTCCGGGCAGATGGCGTTCATGCCTGTGGTATTTACTGCAAACAACAGCTACCAGGTATATATAAGTGCCGACAGCAAGTGTAACTCTACTCTGACATTATGCCTACCAGAATGCAAAACCCATGTCCTTCCTTGCTTCGCCACAGACACACGACACCGTGATTCTAATATGCCCGGTGATCAATTGTCATTAGTTGCACAGTACTAGAATTCAAACCCTCATATGGATATGATAGCATTCTAAGCTACCCCAGGAACTTAACCCCCATATTTTAGAGTTCGCAACGGGCCCAACGCAGTTGGTATATTTGCCTGTAGGACAGTGTAGGTGGTATATTATTGGAGTCAATTGGACCTATCTGTTTGCTGGAAAGTTGGAAAGTTGGAAAGTTGGAAACCCATAAACTGTTGAAATACAGACCAAAGTTCGAATCCAGATGAACAACATGGAATTACCTGGGAACAGTCAGTTCGAAGATGATATCTCGAGGGAGTAGCCCTTGAAACAAAAAAAAAAAAGGGCCAAAAAAAATTTTAAAATTTGAAAAAAGTTCAAAATACAAAGAAAAAGAACATTTCCCATCCACCAATAGACCAGCACATGTAAACGGGAAAAGAAAAAAAAAAAGACAAAGGGAAGGGCCCCATGTGAAGGACAAAAAGCATACTTGTTCGTGACTTCATAAGCCTGCACATATTCTCCTTTGTGGTAGTGATAATCTGCCTTGCAGGCTATCAAGTCACTGTTATCTCTCAACGATGTTCCCGCCACCTCCGCATGGCTGATGACCGTCTCCTCAGCAATATCCTTCTCAAGCTGCACAAATTTGTGTTCGATCGTTGTCACCTGGCCATACTGAGTACACACACACACACACACACACACACGAAACAAAAACAAAAACGCATTATGGCAAATCAATCATGAATATCTTTCCTCTGTGCCTTCAGTCCCTTCACAGACAAAAAAAAAAAGAAAACGAAGCCAGAAAGCGTCCCTCATCTCTCTATCCTCTAGATCATCTGGTCGTGCTGCTCACAACTCTGAGATAGGCAGGGGTTGACGAAGACAGAGCCACGGAGGCGACTTTGGTAATTACTAGGGGCCGCACCGGGCCACTGATGATACACAAGAGAGGTTGGGCACTGTGAGAGGATGTTCGTCCGTAAGGAAAAGTGGGTAGGGTTAGGAAGAGTAGATTGGTAAAGGCGTTAATATAGATACGGCACTGGGTTGGTACTTGATTTGGAAGGAATTGAGGGCAACAGGGGTCAGCTGCAGCAAGCATTGGAGGAAGTCGTGATGAATCGGTGTTAAACACAAAGACGCATAAGCCGTTGGCAATGAGTGAAATTGGTGATGCACAAGCAGGACATGTGTATGTTGCATCAGTGGAAGTAGTAGTACATATATCACATAGAATGCATCTCATTATGGGGGGGGATTGCGGAACTATGATATCAGGACTAAGAGGAGAGTTATGGGACTACAATATAATGACAAAGGGGAGCACTATGGGCAAAAGAAGGCTGTAGCGTCTGGGTGCCGATGGGATTCTATCGGCTACACACACAGTCCGCAGTGGGCGTCATGGCAATCTCCTCAGACACGCTAGGACTGGTTGGGCGGCTGTCCAGGGGGCGCAGCTTGCCGAGGTTTTTGGTCTCTTGTATGCTTGCCGTGGAAAAATAACCAGACTGACACCCCACATACCAGAAGGGGCATGTGTATGGATCGGTGAAGAAACCGAGGAGGGTTCAGTACAGGACGTTGAATTCGTTGTTTCAGCTTGTTTGTTTGTTCTCATAAATAAACGAAGGCTTTAGCTCCTGGTATTGTTTTGCCTATCATCTAATGACCCGCCAAAACACAGACTGAGAACACTGCTGATTTCTGAGTCTTGCCGCTGGCGTTCTGCTGAGTTTTCTAAGTCTGTGTGTGTGCGTGCTTGCTGGTCCGTGTGCCTGTCTGAGTGCTTGTGGCCCGCCAGAGCACTTGCTTGTTTGGTAGGCCCAAGGGGCCCGTACTTACCTGTGGCCGTGACTTTGACGGTTGCACTGGGGAGAACACTCAAGTAGCGGGGAGTAAGCCCACGACACTTGGGGCAGGGAGGAAAAACACTCAAGTAGCAGGTAGGCCGGTACCACTCAAGTAGCGGCAGATGTGCCAGAAACCAGAGGCCAAGCAGAAGAGACAAAAAGTTAGAATTTTCTGAGGCCCACTAGGCTAGGTCAAGGCGGGTGCCAGTCCAAGTAGCCTGAGTCTAGGGCCTGTGCGGACAATATCAGAGCCTGCAATGGCGTTTCCCTCCGAAAGGGAGGAGGGACCGGTTGCTTGGAGGCCGCACGGCCTGGAAGCCACCGCCCAAGAGGCAGGTAGGCCGCTATATCTCCAGGAGGAGCGAAGTGCTCCTCCTCAATTGCGGTGTGCAAGTTTGGACGTCATGCTGCTTGAGCGGGCGCTAGTCTTAGACTAGTGCCCGCTGGAAGGAAGAGCACTGCGTGAAGCAGGAGGAAGAAGGCTGGGAGCTTCCACCTCGGCTATGGCGGAGCTGCACCGGTAGGAGGAGGAGGACGAAGAAGGGGACTAGGGAGAAGAGTGGCAAGGTACTACTTACCTGGCTATGGTGGACGCCATCTTCATCACCTTGTTAGGCGCTGCATCTGGAAGGCCCCAGTTGGGGTTGCGCCGCACGAAGAAGACTTCAAGGCAGAGTCAGGCATCGCGGTCTGAGTAGCAGCGGACATAACTGCTTTGCATTGTCTATTGCACGTCGGGGCTAGGACCTTAGTAGTCCGCCATTGCCTCAGCCTGGTTGAAGAGGAGGAAGAAGGAGGTTATGGCTATGGTGGACCTCTGATATGCTAGATTCATACTTTGATTCTGATTCAGCCATTCATCATTATTATTATTATTTATTCAGTTTGATTGTTTGAATAAGGGAGGGGGCGATAAGGAGGCGACGTTGGTTGGCGAGCGAAGGGGGAATTGGCATTGGTCTTTGCTGGTGTACATCTTCTTCTTCTATCTTTCTTTTTCTTCTGCTTTTCTCTCTCCCTCATCTCAAGTTCATTCATTTCTTTTGCATTTGGACGGGATTGTACTTTCTCGTGATTTTGCACCTGAAAATTGGCCAGGTTCGTAACAATCACAATACGTGGTGGTGATCTGTTTATCGGCCGCATCATGTGTGACACATTCATTCAGCCACAAGGCTTCTTGGTTTGACTTAGCACAAGGAGCCGAGTAAGGTCGCAGCCACAGTCTTCCGTGTGTATGCAGCACTATGCCCTACTATGCACAGTTCATATACCTTCTTTGCCCTGCACTGATAAAACAGGTAAAGCCACCGATCCTCTGGAGCAAACTTCAAGGAGGATAGCAGACTTGTCTCTGATCATCAAGAAGAAAGAATCAGACAAGAAAGTACACAGGTAACTGCCAGTTAGTGAACAGCTCATGAGTTCAAATCCTGCTGAAATCAGATAAATATCAATTAAACTTTCGGAAAACTACACAGGAGTCCCAAAGACTGTGTAAAAATACACTTCGCCGTGACTTCGGACAAAACACAGTTTCAAATTGCAGTCCGGGCAAAATGTATACAACCTAGCTTTCTGGTAAGGTAGCGTTGTGCGGGGGTGTGTTGCGTTTGGGGGAATGCCCAAAGTGTAATTTGAAACTGTTTTTGTGACTGTACTGGAGTTACCCCATAAACCTTTTAGTAAGTTGTCTAACAAATATTAATTAGAAGACGGCAAGATGTGATTTAAAATTTGGAAGATACAGACTCTCTCTCTCTCTCTCTCTCTCTCTCTCTCTCTCTCTCTCTCTCTCTCTCTCTCTCTCTCTCTCTCTCTCTCTCTCTCTC